GCCGCGTCCCCAAGCTGTCCCCTTACCTGCCGGTAGCCCCGAGCAGGCGACGCCTTGGTCGGCGCCGTTGATGAAGTAACGCAGGTCGCCCCGTGCCGTCCGCATCATCCCGATGCGCGAACCTGTCCCTAATGAGTCCAGGTCGCAGCCGTAGTTGTTCCGCATGGTGTTACCGTCCTGCATGATGGCCGTCCCGCTGCAGGGACACAGGCACATTGTGGGGACACCGAGGAAAGGTTGGGGGGGACGACAAGGGGACAAGAAAGCACTCGGGGCTCATGTGGCCCAGCAGGATGCTTGGGGATGGATGGGGACCTTTGGGGACAGACAAGGACTGTGGGATGCATAGGGACCCTTGGGGACAGACGGGGACCCTCCGAGATGGGACAAGGACTGTGTGGACACATGGGGATCCTTGGGGATGGATGGGGACCCTGGGGACAAGCAGGGACCCTTAGGGACAGATGAGGATCCTTGGGGATGGACAGGGACCCTGGGGACAGATGGAGACACCTGGGGATAGACGTGTTCCCTTGGGGACACACGGGGACTCCTGGGGACAGATGGGGACCTTGGGGATAAGCAGGGACCCTTAGGGACAGACAGATGGGGACCCTTGGGGATGGACAGGAACCTGGAGACAGATGGGGACAGTTGGTGACAGATGAGGACCCTTAGGGACAGATGAGGACCCTGGGGACTAACACATTCCCTCGGGGACAACCCAGGGACCCTGGGGACAATTGCGGACCCTTGGGGAACTTGATGAGCCAGCACAACGCCTTGCGGACAGACGTGACCCCTTGGGGACACCAAGAACATAGACCTGGCCTCTTGGGGACAGAAGAGGACGTCAGGGACAAAAGAGGGATGGACAGGGACCCCTCAGGGAACCTGGTGACCCAGTAAGGCCCCTTGGGGACTGAGGTGACCCCCCCAGGTGACACCAGCGTGTCCCCCTCCTCCTCACCTCAGCATCCAGGTGTCGTAGTCGATGTCCGTCATGGTGTTGGGGAACTCCAGGTCCTCGGGGCGGATGGCGGTGACGCCTGCAGGGACAACAGGGGTGACAGGGGACATGGAGGGGGGGACAGGAGATGGGGAAGGGTGTGGGGGACCCCCCCCACCCCCTCCCCTCCGTGTCCCCTCTTGTCCCCTCTCACCTGCCTCGATGGAGCCAGACCAGCGATCCACCATCTTCTGGATGACAATCTCAAAGAGTTCCCCGTCCCGCAGCGCCCTGGGGGACACCGGGGGGGTCACCCCAAAACCTTGGGGGGGTAGGAGGGGGACAACGGGGTGGCAACAAGGTTGTGGGCAGATTTGGGGGACCTGGGGCTGTATTTTGGGGTGCAGGGGATGGTTTTGGGGTGCCCCGACCGGCTGGAGATGACAATAACATTATCAAACTTGCAGCAGCAGCTCTGGCACAGATTTGGGGACTTGGGGCTGACACTTGGGGACATTGGGGGACCCGTGGCCAGGTTTTGGGGTGCAGGAAAAGGTTTTGGGGTGCAGAGGGAGGTTTTTGGGGTGCCCCTGACTGGTTGGAGATGACAATGATGCAACTGAACTCAGAGCGGCAGTTCTGGCACCGGCTGGGGGACGTGGGGACGGCATTGGGGGACACTGGGGGACCCATAGTCAGGTTTTTGGGTGCAGGAGAAGGTTTTGGGGTGCAAGGTGGGATTTTGGGGTGCAGGGTGGGGATTTTTGGGGTGCCCCTGACCGGTTGGAGATGACTATGGCATCGTTGAACTCGGAGCGGCAGTTCTGGCGCAGGGCGGTGCGCCCGCCGTTGGTGATGACAGCGTTGGTACCGTGCAGGCGGTGGAACCGCAGGTCACTAGGGGAACCCCCCGGGGATGGACTTTCGGGGGACCCCGGGGTGTCCCCCTCCGAACCATCACCTGCCAGCGAGGTCACCTCTTGGGGGACACACACAAATGACCCGTGAATCCCCAATGTCAGGGCTCCAGCAATCTCCCTGCACCCCCAGCTCCAGCCCTGCACCCCAGTATTGCCCTCCGGTGGCCCTGCACACTGGAGTCCCCAATGTTCCTCAAACCCACACCCTGATGTCCCCAGGACCCCCATCCCCCCTAAACCCAAAACCCCAGTGTCCCCAAACCCACACCCTGATGTCCCCAGGACCCCCAAAACTCCACCTCTGATCTCCCCAGGACCTCTGTCCCCCCCAAACCCAACATCCCGGTGTCCCCAAACCCACACCCTGATGCCCCCAAGCCCCCCAAAACTCCACCTCTGACCTCTCCACGTGCCCCGCCCCAAGCCCCTACATCCCCAGTGTCCCTCCCAGGAGCTCACCGCCGTCCTCGACAATGGTGGCCTGGGCAGCCTGGCCGTAGAGGTCCACCACGGCGTAGACGTTGGGGGGCACGTTCCAGGCGGCGGGTCCCTGTGCCGCCCCGTTGACGAAGAAGTGGAGGGTACCGTCGTCCCTGCGTACCACCCCCACCGTGTCCCCCGCCTGCGGGGATGCACGTCACCCGGGGAGGGGGGACACCGACAGGTCCCAACCAGGGACCCAGGCGTCCGGGTTGTCCCACCTTGAGGCGGTCGAGGTTGTGGCCGTACTCGTCGAGGACGGTAGTGCCGTTGTGCATCACACCGTTGCCCGTCATCATCCAGGTGCCTGCAGGGACAGGGACGGGGTTGGGGACACGACCCATGGAGGGGAAGGGTGGCTGAGGATGCCCTGGAGTGGTTGGGGACACCCTGGAGTGGTATGAGATGCTCTTGGGACACCCTGGAGTGGCTGGAGACACCCTGGGGAGAAGGCAGAGTGTCTGAGAACACCTTGAAGTGGTAGGAGATGCCCTGAGGACACAAACGGGTGGCTGGAGACACTCTGGGGACATCCTGGAGTAGCTGGGGATGCCCCAGGGACACCCAGGGGTGGCTGGGGACACCCTGGGGTGACTCAAGATGCGCTGGGGACTTTCTGGAGCAGCTCAAGATGACCTGGGGACACCTAAGGCTAGCTGGGGATGTCCTGGGGACATCCTAGGGTGGCTGGTGACACTCTGGGGACACTCAGGAGAAGCTGGAGACGTCTTGGGGACACCCAGGAATAGCTGAGTGGTATGAGATGCTCTGGGGACACCCTGAAGTGCCTCAAGAAGTCCTGGGGACACCTTGGAGTGGCTCTAGATGCCCCAGGGACACTCCGGAGTGACTGAAGATGTCCTGGAATGGCTCAAGATGCCTAGAGGACATGTTGGGGTGGCTGGGAACAACCTGGGGTGGCTGGGGGCCTTGTAGGGACCCCAGAAAGATGTTTGGAACCCCTCAGGGACATCAGGAACCCAGCCGAATGCAGGTGGGTCATGGTGGGAGGGCAGGAGGAGGTAGGCAGGGGTGTGGGTGGTGACCCCATGAGGACGTTGGGGACCCCATAGGGACCCCATGGTGATGTTGGGGACCCACCTGAGCACTGGTTGGTAATGCTGGTGGGCAGCTGAGGGTAGATAGGGTGGTGGGTGGTGACCCCATGGGGACGTTGGGGAGCCCCTAGAGATGCCAGGGACCCACCTGAGCGCAGGTTGGTCATGGTGGAGGGCAGCTGGAGGTAGGCAGGGTTGTGCGTGGTCACCCCAATCTCGATGGACCCGGCCCATTTGTCCACCATCTTGTCAATGCGGACCTGGAAGAGCTCGTTGTCCCGCAGCGCCCGGGCACTCAGCACCACCCCGTGGTTGAAGTCATCTGTCGCGCTGGGGACAGGGACATCGTGTCACCCAGGGGGGGCAGGGTGGAACGAGAGATAGGTCCATCATGTCAGCGGAGACATGGGGACACCACATCAACAGGGACACAGGGAATGGGTCCATCATATCAATGGGGGACACCAGGAACGAAGACACAACGTCAGCAAGGACACCAGAGATGGGTTCGTTACGTTGATGAGGGCTCCAGGGATGGGGACACATGGACTCAATGTCAACAGGGATACCAGGGATGGGTCCATCGCGTCAACAGCGACAGCAGACACGGGGACACAAAGACGTGTCAGTAAAGACACTGGAAATGAGCTCGTTATGTCAACACACACCCCAGAAACAGTGACACAACGATTCAATGTCAGGGGGGACACCCGTAATGGGTCCACTACATTGATGAGGACACCAGGGATGGGGACACAAGGACACAACGTCAGCACAGATCCCAGAGACGGGTCCATCACGTCAACAGACAAAGCACGAATGGGGACACAGGGACACAACGTCATTGAGGACACCAGGGATGGGTTCATCACGTCAACAGGGACAGCAAGGATGGGCACACAAGGACACAACGTCAACAAAGACACCAAGGAGGGGTCCAACATGTTGATGAGGACACCAGGGATGGGGACACCAGGGATGGACCCATCACATCAAAGGAGACACGGTCACTCGCTGTGACCACAAGACCATCTTCCCCTCCCTTGTCCCCGTTCCCTCTGCACCCCTCAGTGTCCCCAGGTCCCCCCAAGCTCCCACGTCCCTCCCCATGTCCCCCAGCATCCCCCCACGTCACTCACTGTGGCCGCAGAGCCGTGCGCCCCTCGTTGACGATGGCTGCCTTCTGCCCGCAGTTGGGGTGGAAGAGGAGACGAGGGGGCGGTGGGGGCCCGGCGGGTGGCCCGGCAGGGGGCTGGGGGGACGTGAGGGGACGCCGGCCACCCTCGGGTGACAATGCACGCAGGATGGCATTGTTGCGCCGCAAGCGGTCGCTGTGGTTGTGGTTGTGGACGATGGTCACCTTCACCGCCATCCCGTAGAGGTCCACCACCCCGTAGACCACCAGTGGCGTCAACGTCGTTGCCACCCCTGGAGACAGGGAGAGGGATGTCACCGCAGCCACACTGGGGACACCCTGGTCCCCTCGAGATCATGGGGTGTCAACACTGGGGACACCCTATGGATGGAGACATCACTAAAAACCAATTTGGGATCGCTTGTGTCCCCTCCCAGTCATAGAGTTTCAATGTTGGGGACACCCCATGGATGGAGGTGCCACCACAGACACCCTGGGGATACCCTGGACCCCTCCCAGTTGTGCAGCACCAACTTGGTGAACACCCCAGGGTTGCGGACATCACTAAGAACCACTTTGGGGTCTCTGTGTCCCCTCAAGGTCATAGGGTGTAAACTTGGGGATATTCCAGGGATGGAAATGTCCCCAACAGCCAGTCCGGGGTCTCCTATGTCCCTTCAAGATCATGGGGAATCAACGTGGGGGACACCCCAGGGCTGGGGACGTCACTAATAACCACTTTGAGGTCTGTCTCCTCAAGGTTATGGGTGTCACCATGGGGGGCACCCTGAGAATGGGGTTGTCCGCAAGGGCCACCTTGAGGTCCCCACGTCCCCTCCCACTCATGACGTGTCAACCTGCACGACACCATACAGATGGGGACAGGCCCAAGAGCCACTTTAGGGTCTCCATGTCCCCTCCCTGTCCTGGGCTATCAACACTGGGGACACCCCATGGATGAAGATGTCCCCAAGAACCACCTGGGGTCCCTTAAGGTCATGGGGCATCAACATGGGGGATGCTCCATGGACACAGACATCTTCAAAGCCACCTTGGTGTCCCCATGTCCCCTCTCAGCCCCAAGATGCCAATTTGGGGACTTTCAAGAGACCCCTGGGGGTATGGGGGGTGTGTCCCCATGTCCCTATGTGTCCCCTTGGGGTGTCCCTGTGTCCCCCCACCTTGGTCGATGCCATTAATGTAGAAGTGGAGGGCATTGTTGGCTTTCCTCGTCAGCCCGATGTGGTCCCCTTCCTGCAGGGAGAACACACACACATGACATGGGTGACAAGAGGCCCCCAAAAATCTGAGGGGAGGGATTTGGGGGGGGGATTGGGAGCCCCCGCCAATCCCCAGGGTGTCCTCAAGGGGTTGGGGGTGCAGAGATGGAGGAGGGACATTGGTGGGACCCCCCCAAAATTCTTGCAGGGGATGGTGGGGACAGCAGGGACACAAGCAGGGCAGGAGAACATCACTGGGACCCGCTCAAAACTCCTGCAGTGGACAATAGAGATGTGGAGGCAGGAGTTTGGGGGTCCCAAGGGGGGAATTGGGGGTGCAGGAGGGGGTTGACGTCGCTGGGACCTCCCCCAAACCCCTGCAGGGGACAGTGGAGATGGGGGGGGGCAAATGAGGAGTTGGAGGTCTCTGGGGGGCGTTAAGGGGGGTCCCCCCAATTTTCAGGGGCCCTGGGGAGGTTTTGCGAATCTCAGGGGAGTTGAAGGGGGATCCCTCTGATTCTGGGGGGCCTCAGGGGGCTTTTGGGGGTTCTAGAGAGAACCTGGGGGTCCTCCCCCAAATTTGGGGGGCCTCAGGGGGACTTTGGGGATCCCAGGGTGGGTTTGGGGTGTCCCCCCGATTTTAGGGGACCCCAAGGGAGGGGTTGGAACCCCCAGGGGAGCACAATGGGGGCTTGGGGGTGTTTTGGGGGTCCTGGGGGTGGGGTTCAGGGGTCGCCCCCTGATTTGGAGGGGGTCCCCCTGATTTTGGGGTGCCCTGGGGGTGTCACCTGCAGCTCGTCGAGGCTGAACTCGCAGTACTCGCGCCGCGTCCCCTTCCCGTTGGTCAGGATCCCACAGCCGCTCATCATGATGGTACCTGGAGGGGTGCAGTGGGGGGGGTCTTGGGGGGGACCCAGGCACCCAGGGAACTCCCCCACATCCCCTCTGGGGGGGACCCAGGCATTGGGGAACTCCCCCACCCCTTTTCTAAGGGCATTCAGGGAGCCTCAGCTCTACCGTTGGGGGTCTTGGGGGGACTCAGGCATCCGGGGGGCCCCCCACCCCACTCTGGGGGAGGACCCAAGCATCTGGGGGGGTCCCAGGCATCCGGGGGGGGCTCACCGGAGCGGAGGTTGGTCATGGTGGCGGGGTACTCGAGGCTGTTGGGGTTGTGCGCCGTCACCCCGATCTCAATGGAACCCGACCATTTGTCCACCAGCTTGTCAATACGAATCTGGGACAGGGGGTGTCATGGGGTGAGGGGGAGGGTGTCAAGGGCCCCCCACCCCCCCCCCCGGGCCCCCCGCCACCCCCCAGAATTCCCTCCCATGTGCTTCACAGCCCGCCCAATACCCCATGGGACACCCAGTTGCCCCAAGGACCCCAAAAATGTCCCCAAGACACTCTCAGGTCCCCAGT